GCACATCCAGGGTAAACGAAAGAGAAAACGAATACAAGAAAAAGAAGATAATGTGATCGAAAGATATTGTACCGAAGAAAGAGATGATATTGTAATAAGTAAAGAATGACATCACATCGAGAGGACAGAGAAAGGATATTAGAATATGTGAGAGCAGGCCCGTAACACATACACAACCAAAAAGAAATAAGAAAAAGTAAAAAAAAAAAAACATTTCTATAGTCATATTTTTGAGATCCGAAACTAAGTGAGAATATAAAAAAAAGAAGATTTGAGTGACTATGGACGAAAAGTGATTGTTATCATTTGGAAAAAGTATAATTTTGAGATTAATGTTTAATTGAGAATATCAAGTAGACTAGATACATCAATACGAGAAGTGTGTGGTGATTGGCATCGAATTGAATTATCAATACCACCATAAAATGTAAACAAATTAATACCATTTGTTTGATTTGAAATAATACGTTCAACACGTTCATTGATTGGTATAAGATCATCGAATGTATCTTCGTAAGAATGAGTATTATTTGATTTATGTGGAAGATCATCTTCGGAATGAGAAGAACATGTCATATTAGAAGATGGTGCCTGAAGGATGACAGGTTCATCACTTGATGATGTATGACATATTTGATTATGATTATTATTGACAAGACCTAAAGCATGACGACGTTGAATAGATCCTGGTGTAGAAAATTTATTTTTATTTAAACGAATCGGTGTTATCATCGTATCATTACATATTGGTAAATCATTCATACTTGTTGTGCCAACTAATTTAAGATTTTTAATATTATTTGAATAAAAAGTTAAATCGTTTATTGTTGCTGATGATAGCATACGATTACGTACTAAAAATAATTTTATTTCATTATTAAGAAGATTTTGCTTTTTATTCGAAATGAATTCTTACTTGGTGTACGCATGGGAGTGCGAAGTGGTGTTTTAAATAAAGGAAAATCACAATCATTCTCTTTACTTCGCAATGCTGTTGCCATTATCTTTATTTAATATAGGATCTGAAGTAAAAAAGAATTCTTTTTAAATGTTTTGACTATTCTCGAAAATAAAAATTGACATATAAGATTCAATGTTAAAATTCCTTTGAACTAATAAAATACATTTGATGGTTAAGAAAAACATATAAAATATTTGACAGACACAAAAAAAGTTAACTTTTTATGTGATGATATGTACTAACATAAACATAATCAAGTTGGATAATAATCATAATCATATGACAAATACCATACACATATTAAATTTGAACGTACTAATAGAAAAAAGCATCATTTAGTATTAAACAATCGTAGCAAAGTTTTAATTCAATGGAATTTTTTCTAATCGATTTTTAAATTATATTTGGTGTATTTTATCCTTTATCAGATGAATTCTATGAAACATTAAACAGTTCATGAACTTTCGATGATAATTTTTCAAGAATCATATGTTGTAAGGATTTTACAGCTAATTAAAACTCAAATTTTAGAACCGAAATAATTCACTGTCTTGTGTAAAATCAAAGAAGAAACTTGCCGTACCATGACTAAAGAGTATACCATCTTGTATTGAAAGTTGTTTAATAAAATTTTGATTCCATTTATTAATACCATTCGATTTAAAAGTAAATTATTGTTACTCATTAACTAAAATAGATTCATACTTTTTTGATTCATAGATATCTTTAGCCAGACGATAGCTATCCATTGTTCTGCGTTGTAAATCATTTTCATGATATTTTAAAAATTAAATAGCCTAAAACAAATAGACTAATAGTTAACTGGAGTTAGAATTGATGCTTTTGCATTAAAAAATACTAAATAAAATGAAATTCATAGAGAAACAAGCATACTCTTTGATTATGTTTTTCATTGTCGATGATTGTTCATTTAATAATACCTTCATCTATTTCATGTATTGTTTGCCATTTCTTGTTGATCAAAAATAGAAAAACACCTGAAGTAAAAACATTGGTTTTTATGAACTTGTTGTTTTACACGTCGAAACAGGCAAACGAATTTGTATGTACAACATCACAGTGACGCACATTGTAAAAGAAAAGAAAAACGTAAATTCGAGAAAAATTTCAAAAACAAATGTATTGGTAGTGAAGTTGTAGATTGTTTTTGAAGAATAATCAGTCACTAAGATTTATTTGTGAAAGAATGATAAAGAAAGACTATTTAACCAGACAGACAAATAATTTATTATGCTACAGTATTCTTCTTTCTCTTTCTTACTTACTCTGCTTTCTTTCTTTTGTCTATGACCAAGGAATGAGTCAGTTTCATATAATAACAAATAATAATTGTAATCAATAGAATGTTGATCAAATGATATCTGAATAGTGGAAAAAAATAGAAAGTTCCTAATAATGAATAATCAAATTTTTGACACCGTCGATTTTTTAAAATCATAGATGTCGTTAGAATATGAAAAATGTCATTCTAAAGAAAGTTAAGAAAACAAGTATTTGAAAACGGTCGAACAGCCAAATAAATTTAGTAGCAATCTTTGGATTTGAATCTTAGAAATATTTTCCTTATCACGTGTAATCAATATCTTCCATATCTAATCTTGAAATAATTTAAAAGCTAACCTTTTTTTTCATGTGCTTGACATGTGCAGACCTCAAGATGTGTCCATAGCTTTATGACTTTCTTTTCATAACAAGCACTTGAATTCTGGCATAAGTTATGTACACAAATAAAGCTATTCATGCGCTGAACTTATGAACATCATACTAATATAGAGATACTTGGAACGATCAACTAAAACTAACTGGAAGGAAACAGTAAAACCCCACTATACAGCTACCATGGAAATTGTAAGAATATTTTCGTAACTCTGACTGTAATAAATAAAATGAAAATACTTCGAAATCGTTTCCAGTAACATGATGGCTGTTCAATAAACGAAAAGTTGAACTTTAATATGGGACAAATAATTCTTAGAAAAAGCATGCTTTTAAGTAACTCACAGAGCAGAATAACAATAGTTTTTCTCCATTAAGATTTCTTGTGTAATGAGTAAATCAGTATTATTTTAAGTATCGCTGAAGTATATTTCTGTAGACCGTGAAAAGTGTAAATAAAGATTTACACAGCTTCGAAGGACGATATTTAATGATTTTTTTCTTTTAGTCATTATATTATCTATTTCTACAAATAAAATCTCTTCAAAACACTATTGACAACTGCTTTGACTAGTGTCAATTATATATATCTGCTATATTTTTATTGTCATTTATTTTATTGTTGTTTTAGTCTTTTTTTACTTGAACTAAAAAAAAGTCGCATCTGTGAATTGGTTAATGTAAAATAATCAAGAACTTTCATTGATTATACATCTTTTTATCCAATTCTTTTATTATACTGTTCAATTTTATCTTATTTTGTAAATAGATAAATTTATATCGTATTGCATTATTTCATTATGAATATCGAACTTTATCAATTTGTAATTGATACATTTGATTAATTATTTTCAGTCTATTTCAGTGGTTTAATTTTCTTTATACATGATGACGTAAGAGAGCAAAAACTGTTTTTTTTCTTTTTCGGTTACTTAATATATTATTAGAATATGTTTCAATTATTTGATTTCTTCACTGACAATTTTTTAACATAGACTATTTTCTTTTTTTCGGTAATGTTGAAATTCTACATTTCTGGTTTTATATCGTGATAAAACCTTTCTCTATCCAGTTATTGTACAAAAAGTCAAGTTATTTTCATATTAGAATTAATATGACAGAACATTGTCATTTCCGTACTTATTCGAAAAATAATACTTAATTAATGATAAGAAAACGAAAAAATGATTTCATCGTATATCAAATCAACAATCCATATCTCAATGGGAATCAGCAAGACAGAATGTCTTCCTCTCTGGAGTTCGTTGTTATTGCGCTACATATGAAGTGTTTGTCTCCCACTCCTACTTACCAGAAGAGAAAGCTTGAATAAAACATTACCATATCTTTGCTTTATGTTTCAC